CTTAACCGAAATTCGAAATTTTATTCCACAAATCAAGCATTCTACCGCACATCTCTGATAAAAATTTCGTCATCTTTTGTTCAGTATTTGAGGAGAAACAGAGCCCAAAAGTTGAAAAAATGTAATTTCGTCACGCGCGTTTAAGCCGAGAAGGGAATATGGGAAGGTTTTACTTGATTGACTCTTAGAAAAAGAAAAATGTCAAAATTTACATACATCATAGAGACATCAATATTATATTTTATCCTTTTCGATATTAGAAGAAAAAAGAATGAAAGCAACGATAATGTAAAGAAAAAACATTCTACATGTGATAAATTATTTCGTGACTGTATCAATAGACGCTTGTTTACATAATTTAATACTAATCGTTACTTTATAATCTTAACATAATCATTCAATTCAATCTATCTCAACTACATAAATTAATCAAATGAGTAGGTTTTCAACTCATTTTATTTCCTGATTATGTATTTATTTTTGTATAGATTTTATCACCAAACAAATAGAAAAAAAATTGGGTGTGGATCTAAATGGAGATGGCATAATCGGTTCAGGTATGAATTGAATCTGTTATTTGCAGTATTCACTGTCATAATCTTTTCTTTATTTTGCAGAAGGTATTGTTAGTAAAATTGAAAAAGCTACACATATAGATTTCAATGGTGATGGACGGATTGGTGCTCAACCTAGATATCCACCTTATCATCATGGCTATGGTGGTCCTTCTTATCCTCCCAATTATCATCAACCTGGTAATAATCCTGGCCTGATCAATGAACTTGAGAAGGCCACAAATATGGATCTTAATCATGATGGACGCATTGGTGGGCAACCTAATTATCCATCATATGGTGGTCCTCCTCCTCCAAATTTCTACCCACCTAGTATCAATCCTGGCCTGATCAGTGGCCCACCGAATTATCCACCGTATAGTGGTTCTCCTTATCCACCAAACTATGGTCCGTACGGTGGTCCTCCTCCTCCACATTTTCCACCATCTGGTAACAATGCTGGTATAATCAATGAACTTGAGAAGGCTACCAATATTGATCTCAATCGCGACGGACGCATTGGTGGTTCACCAAATTATCCTTCTTATAACCAGCCATATGGCGGCGAATCTTGTGCCTCGCACTATGGTTCATATAATGGTCCACCTCCTCCAAATTTCTACACACCTGGTAATGGTGCTGGTCTAATCGGTGAATTTGAGAAAGCTACAAATATTGATCTTAACCATGACGGACGCATTGGTTAATATCTCAGTATCTAATACAAAAAAACGATTATTTTCTCTTTTTTTATCGTAACATGCATTTAAACCCACAAAATGTAACTACTAATAATTATCTAACTTGTTAATAAAAACACATTTTCCTATTCAACAAGAAATAAGAAGGATACTATATATTTCTGGAATGAACAAATTCTTTCCTTTTTTTATCTCTAACATAACGTCTCTGAATATCATCAATGAGATATAATTGAAGAAAGAAGAAAATGAAAACTACCATTCACCTACTCTCTAAAAAAAAATGATTTATTACAAAACTTAAAAGGGTATATAGAATTGCAACCATTTCTATACCCTTTTAAGTTTCGTACGAACCTAGGTTCCGGCGTTCAGCTACGAAACCTCTATTTTTTTTATTGACAAAAAGGTTTCGTACAACAGGTTTCGTATTAAACTCTGGCAAAAGAGGTTTCGTACAAACTTGATGATCATATTTCGGCTACCTCTCAATTTTCTCAATTAGACCTTTTGTAATTATGATTCTTAGCTAGCCGATTTTATGTAGTTTTGTAAAGCTCTCCCTTGCGGACTGTTTATCGACAGTAACTGCAAGTATATTACAGACAGATTTTTCCATTTAATCTCTACAATCCATGCAGAAAAATTCAATATTTAATTGAAATTATTTATGCGAAATTGATACGTGTATTTTCTTAGGCTTCAATGAACGTGGTACCGGAGCTGGGCAAGTCAAGTCAGACTTGGGAAAAGGTTTTACCGATCTTCTGACCGACTGCTAATTTTGTCTGTCTCTTAAGTCATTTTAAAAGTGCATTCTTTTAATACAGAGAAATGATATTAAAGATCTAAGTAGAGTCGTTTTCCATGCAGAGCTGGGCAAGTCATGACAAAAACGCCTCTATTCCAAATCAAGTCAGACTTGACTGACTTGAAGAATCTTTTCGTTGACTGAGACTTGCAAAAATCCTGACTTGTCCAGCTCTGCGTTGTACAAAAGCAGGGAAAAAACGAGCTTCGAATAAACACCAGTATATGCTTACAATAACGGTACAAAACGTCTGAAGTCCGATATTGATATTAACTGCAGAGAGCGACATTGAATACATACAAAAAGAGAGTGAATGAATACGACACACAATGAGAGAGAAATGAATTATGGTTGGAAGAGAGTGGAAGTGATTAGCTAGTGGAAGAATAGGTCATATTTCGTTACACACTCGGAGTCATTGTGCTCAGTTGTGCATCAGATTTAGATCAGTTGTAAATAAAAAAGAAGCAACTCTATTTGTTTTTTCTACACTCAGTTTGTTATACTAATCTAACAATTCAGTTTGGGAACTTGCCAGCTTGGCTATTTAACCGAATTTCTATAACCCAATACTCTCAGGTGATAGAGCCAGTCAACCACACATCAAGTAGCCCATCATACTAAATTCTTATTCACATGTGACACGTGAATTATGAGAGATCAGCAAATGATAAAACCTGAAGTATTATTACTACTTCAAGTTGTTTGCCTCAAGTACTTTATTATGTTTGTTAAACATAATAAAGCAAGTACACTCAGCTATGCAAAAAAGATACATGGCTTTCCCAAAGAAGATGTTCTTCAATCTTCAACCGTTATTGAACTTTTTAGATCGTGTGAACATTTCTAAACTTGTTTTAACTAACCGAGGAAGGAATGGTATGGGAAGACAGTAGATTTAACTCTCCCCGATGAAGTAGGCTATATAGCCTATATGTGAGGACTGACAAAATTTAGCTACATGAAAAAACGTAATCAATCTCAAATGTCTGGGACTCAAATTCATTGGATAGAAAGCTCGGAGATTGTCACAAAATATTAAAAGACTGATTTTGAAATGGTCGGATGTTTCGGACAAACACTAAAAATCGATGATGGCGCTATTGATTACCTTAAAATAGCGGCATACGCTAGCTTCATCAGGGACTTTTCTCACTAAGGGCTAATCGTCCGAAAATTTTGACCACTTCAAATAGAATATATCATAATTTCGTCTTATAATTGAAATCTCCATCCAATGAATTTGAATCCCACACATTCAAAAAGAGATGGCGCTTATTTGTTTTTTCTTGTATGAGTCAGCAGTTGTCAGGCCGCACACTAATAGTTCATGCAAAAAGGAAAGAAATAAAATAGTCATCTTTCACATTCTGTCATTTATTGATTTCTGTATTAGTCCAATCACAGCAGAAAAAAAATAGCTCCATCTAATGGTATTCACATAAATCGCGTGTTTTAAATAGACAACGTCTTTTCGATAACTATCTTAAGACTAATAAATATCTGCTACTAATTGTTTATTGATTTTTCAACATATTCTTCTTTCATCAAAGAAGTGCTTAATGCGATACGAAACTCGTAAGGTTTTGTGAAATTTCTACTAAACTTTTAATGCTACGAAATCACTTCGCCGGTTTCGTATACTCTGTACAAAACCTTGTAGAGAAATATTTTGTTTTGGGGTTTCGTACCGTCTAACAAACCCTTTGAATTTCAAAATTTCACTACAGAACCATTAAAAGTTTCGAAAAAATACACGAAACTTTAATGGTTTAGTATGGAGCCTTTTTTTTAGAGTACGCAACAGTGCAACAGAATGGAAGAACTACGTTGTTTCCACGATGAATAATATTCCTCCGTCGTCATTTGTCTCTAAACATATGTGCACATATAGGTTATACAGTGCATATTCCAAACTATTCTTATTTATATTCTTTTCACAGAACATCCAATGTCATCCATGAGTAGTCATATTTACCTTAGAACTGTTACTGACTGAAATATTACATTATATTCTTTCCTATCTTCATTCGGATGAAATTACATACGGTTTTTTAAATTTAAATACAAGATTTTATAATTTATGTCTTCCATACATCGAACGATTAAATTTATCCAACACTCACAACGCACAAATATGAAGTACAAAAAATTTCCATTTAATTTCATCGTTAATTAAAAGATTAAAATTAAATGATATGCAACTCGATTGGATTTTTGACTCTCCTGATAGTATCTCAACTTATTTCACACAACTTCAGACAATTCAATAACGAATTCTCTTACAAAACGAGCATTATAAACAATATTTACCTATATTTAAAAAAACCATATCTTCATTAGTATTGGATTATAAAAATGCTACACTATTCTCTAAAATAGATCATGAAATATTAAATGAATTTATCGCTAATGATCCTTCGACGATACTTAATAGCTTAACTATCGATCGTGTATGTTTATCAGTTGATTATGAAAATTTTCAAATATGTCAAACATTGAAACGTTTAACATTATCTGTTGAATATCAACATCATTTATTTATTTTATTAGAATATCTACCAGAATTAGAATATTTAAATATCGGAATTAGAGAAGGCAAAGCCGGTAGATATGATTACAATTATTCAAAGACCAGATATCTCACTAAAATTACGACAATTGAATATATCCGCAAATAATATTGATTTCAATGATTTGACTCTTCTCCTTCGACAATGTCAATCAACCTTAGAAATCTTAAAATTACGTTTTACAATTAGTTATATAATCGATGGTCGAATATTGGAACTTTTTAAACAATCCTTAAATCAATTTTGTTTTTATTTTTTCTGTCATTCATTAGAAGATCTATCGATCTCTCTGGATGATTTATTATCATCATTTCAATCATCTCTTTGGTTACACGATCAATCTGTTATGTTCTTTACAAATTCATTCTATCAAACTTATACCATTGTTCCACCACCGTATCACTGTCGACGTTTTAGTTGTTCATTAATAGATGAATTTTTAAATTATCGATTAAATAACCCACACGAAGATATTAAAATGCCAAGAATTAAAAGAATATTTCTCAATGATCAACAACAACCGATATACACTTATCAATTTTTTCGAGTTTTGAAATCTATTTTTATCAATCTTCAAATATTAGAAAGTGGTTCTAATTTTCATCTTATAAATTCTTCGAAAGCTGATGTAAAATTATCTACTGTTTATACTTTGATTAAAGTCACTAATCAAGATCATCAAAATGTTAAACGTATAATTAAATTACTACCAAAGCTTCGTCATCTTTTCATTGTATTAGCTAGTACCAATGATTTCTATTCAACAGAAGCACAAGAACAAAACAAGTATCATCACCTACAGGAAATAATAATTTATTTTCAACCAAATCAACGTATACAATTAGATGATGATTTCAAAAATCGAGTGAAACCTGTGTATAGCAACGCTAAAATATCGTCATAGAAAAACGTTAAACTCTTTTGCATGTATATTTAAAACTCATTTTAATCAAGCAAATGATTAAAAAATTTTCTAAGGTACTATTGAAAGCGATAATTAGCAACAACTATGATACTCGGCTAAAACGCATAACTGTCACCCTCAGCTGCGGTGGGTTGAGCGATATTTTTTCTCTCAAACCAGCCTTAAAAGCACAGCATTAGACGCAGTGTTTTATGCTGATTACGAATATCAACTTTAAAACGAACGAAACTCAAATTTTTAAATCAAAAATTCAAATTTAAAATTTAGAAGTTTTTTTGTTTCAATTTTCTGACCTACTTAGTTTTTTAAAAAGTTTCAGAAAGTATATCAGTGGATAAAGAATTAAATTCCCTAGAAAGTGCACTATTGACTTTGTCGAAACAATCTTAAAAAACGCATTTTCCACACTAAATAAGTTTTTGCTGGTTTTTGCCGAATTCGAAATGGTACTTTTTTTGGAGCAATTCTCTGAAAATCAAAAACATTTCTCCCACCGTTCGTTTTTGCTTACTTTGATAGAGGATACTCGATTGCATAAGACTTCGTGCAGATCAAGTTTATAGAAGCTTTTACCGGTGGAAATATGACGATAAAACCCACCGCAAAAGACAAAAAAATGATGTAATTCCGTCACGGAGCCATTTCGCTTGTTTATTTTCATTTAAGCATTTTTGGGTGAAAGTAAAGAGATGATTCGAAAGCTCTTTTCATGTTCTACAACTTTTATATTAGACTTTTTTCTGAATATGTTTCGTTTTAGAGCATTTTTCAAAGTTTGTAGAGCACTAGAGAAAAAGGCTAAAAAATGTAATTCCGTCACGACACCTATTTTGCTCATAAAAATCGTTCTACTTAACCGAAATTCGAAATTTTATTCCACAAATCAAGCATTCTACCGCACATCTCTGATAAAAATTTCGTCATCTTTTGTTCAGTATTTGAGGAGAAACAGAGCCCAAAAGTTGAAAAAATGTAATTCCGGCACGCGCGTTTAAGCCGTACTGTATACGATTGCAGAGTTCATCATATTTATGAATTGCGCAATCAGTGAGAGAAAACCTTTTCACATTCTCTTTTGCAACATGTCATTCTCAAAACGAACAATATTTGAAGATTTAAGCAGTGAATTACATATTTCGATATTTGAATATTTAAATGCAAATCAACCAATTCAACCATTTTTTAATTTAAATCAATATTTCAATCAATTATTATGTGATTATCATTTATTACTTCATTGTATATTGATAGATGATGAAAATAATATGGATATTCTTCTATCAGCTATCTGTTAAGAACAATTCAAACAAAGAATTCGAGATTGTAAAGTATCTAGGTATTAATTTATCTTATGATCTCAGTTGGACAACTCACGTTAATAAAGTTTGTTCACGAGCTAGCTCGGTTGTCGGTCTTATGAAATACGGTTTATGGCTGTTAAATAGAGAAACGCTTGATGTGATATATAAGTTGTATATCCTTAATTTGTTTATTTATGGCTCTGTTCTCTTTTCTATCACAACTGAAGACAATCTCAAAAAGATGAAAACAGTTCAGTATCATGCTGGTCTTGTTGTGTTAGGTTGCATGAAAGGAACATCAAGCGAAAGAGTATTATCTAGTTTGGGATGGTTAAAACTATGCGATATTTTTTACATCAATCGTCTGACACATTATACAAATATTATATGCGGTTTTACTGCATCTAATTTAACTGATTACATTCAGCGAAATCAGAGATATAATCTAAGAAATAGCGAACGACTGGTACCAGTTGAACGCGTTAGAGATTTTTTTTCGATGGCTACAGATGAATGGAATGCTTTCTTGATAACATTTTCGTCTCTGTATGTCTTAAAAATCAATACAATAAAATATAAACTGAGAACATCACTCATTGATAAAAGGGAGCTGCTTGTTTTTCCCTAAGAACATCACTTTTCCAAACAGAAGGTAGGAAACTATGTTCATGCGCTTGAGATGTAATTTTCCGCAGTTGAATTCCTATTTATATGAACGGGGTTGCATCATTTCGCCTCTGTGTTCCTGTGGTGACGGTAGCGAGGAGACAATAGAGCATTTTCTCCTTCACTGCAAATTGTATGATACAAGTCGGAAGGAGATTATCGAACGTCTAGATCCTATTAATTTGTCGGTTGAACTTCTTATGTTGAACAATCCGACTAGCAACACAGAGACTTCTCAGTTGATAATAGATTGTGTGAGTAACTTTATTGAGAAAAGCACGAGATGGTAAAGGGTGAATCAACTGTTGGTCGCTTTCTTATTTTCATTCTCATTCGCTCGACATCACATGGCGTATTATACTCTTCTTCGTCTTCTTTTTTATTTCTTTTTTTTTCTTTTTATATATTTCTTTTAAATCTGTTGTTATTGTTACAGATTTTCTTTCTTCTCCCTATTTTCTTTTTATACTGTTAACTTTTTTATGCACCTGTACCTGTAATGACCTTAGGGTCGATTGCATGTCTTATTAGTTATTTTTCTATCAATTAAGCTTAAACCAACGATTGAATAACACGAACTAAACTAACATGGCATAATACAGATTCACAATTGTCTATTGATGCTTTTTCAAGATATTTATGTATAATCGTGTGAAATGTTGCCAGAACTAATTAAGTATTCTGATATACCTTGACTTTTATGATATAAATTATTGTGAAGTTCATTTAAATCATTTTCAGAGGGTATTACTCATTGTATACAATAGATGGCGCTAATATGTAATAAATAAGAAAGTTTTCGAGCATTTTAAGTACTTTTAATTTCGAATTGATGTTATTCCTGGATAAAATCGCTCTCTAAGTAGTTTTAACCTATCTTCTACGTGAAAAAGTTTTGTCTTATGAAAAAGAACCAATCCGAGGCCTTGACTACGCTATTAATCCCAGATATCGGAAACTAAGTATTTTGCAATTCCTGTAAACTTTATGGGCGGATTGAGCTTTTTAAGCTATTCAATAAACATTCACGGCCACCCAGCTGTGAAATGGATTTTTTCTTCTATTTTCGTTCTTTGTTTTAGAAAAACTTCGAAGTATATACCAAAATAGAATACAGTAGTCTTCCAGTTGTAATTCTGATATAGATAATAATTCTAATATTTCATATCTGTTTCTAAATTTCTAAATTTTAGGTATACATATTCTATTCTTATTTCATGTATAGTAATTAAATCATATAACCAAATAAGTACATTAAAAACAGAGCTCATACCCAAGGATTATAAAATTGACCAACAAAAACAAGACATTGTGATCAAAGTTCCATACAAACAGATTAATATAGACGAAAATATATAGGCACAACGCCTGAGTAAATTAACGACAGAATTAGGTGAATAGCCGCCAGTCAAGATATTCGAACTAGCTCAGGTTGTAGAGAATTTCAAGAGCTATCCATTCGTGTATTCAGTTAGCCGTTTTGAGTCGAGAAAAGCAGCATTCATTCATTATGTAGGTCTCGTTTTGAGAGTGTCGATTGGGATGGTATTGGAGAGAATTGAGAGAATTTTAATGAACACATAGCGGCAACGTAGATTTCGTAGTATAATTTGTGCGAAATATGTAACATTAAATATTAAAATTAAGTAACAGCACTCATAGAGCACTGATGAAATCCTGTTCTTATATCCCTGAACTAAGCCCGTTTAAAAAAGATTTTGAAAGTTTTCATTCACGTCGATAATGCCAAGCTAACGTAGTGTTTCTCGCTTATAGATGCTACCTGGGTAGATCAAACTTTGGTAAACGAAAATTTTTGTTTTTGAAAAAATACATCCACTGAAATGAATTTGTGCTGTAGTTTCGTTATATAATTCTTTCAATGACATTTTAATACTAGTGACAAAACGACAATGTGGGTTTTCTTTTCTTTTCTTTGAAAAATTTATATATACATATACATATATACCTGTTGCCTGCTTATGAAGTGCAGCTTCGTTGAAGAGCTTTACTGTTTACAAGCGTATATTTTTTTATAACAAAATTTCTCTGCCATCTTTATAACACTCTTGGAGTGTATGCATTACTTTTCAGTAGTTTCACTTTCTTCTGTTAAAAATGTGTGAATTTCTTAAAAAAATAAAAACTGTCAAAATGTGTACAAACGATAATAAAAAACGAAACAAAGGAAGAAAGAATCCGAATATGCTTTTTTTTAAGGGCTCCCTACACAGTGGGCATCCAGGCGGACATTAGGCAAAAAACCGAAGTAACTCTTTTCTCAAATATAAATAGTGTAAAATGTAGCTGTTCAAGTTCTCTATCGAATGGTGTATAAATGTCTATTTTGAAAATGAATCCTTCGAGCAGAAGGCAGTGTACATAAAACCCATAGTGAATATCGTTACCACACTCGAAATCACGATTCTATACTCACTCAGCTATGTTACGACTTCAAAGCACATATTCAGAATCAGCGTGTCTTCAGCTATCTACTGATAGCAAAATGTTTATACTTCGAAAGTAATTGCAATAAGTAACAGTTAATGATTCTTCATCATCTCGTACCGGTATGACACCACTTCTGTGTAGTGATATCGCTAAATAGCGCTAAACCCCTATAGACCTTCTAAATACATCAGAATGTTCCTCTACAACTAGTCTATTTATGGCGAAATCGCAAAATCTCGCATATTTTCTAAGGAGGTTTTATGGATTTTCCAAAATCCCATGGAGTTTTCGCGTATTTCACATTTTTCTCTCTCACCAAAGCACTTTTTCGTACAAATAATGCCATATTCGAAATCAGCGTGAAAAACTACGTCGAATGATATATACTTAGGGCATACCAAAAGTAGTGGCAGTGGTATTTTTATCCCTTATAGAAAGGTTAAAGAAACTTTCTTTTTATATAGTCTGATAGAGAAAAGAATGTTCTATTTTTCTATGCTATTTG